ACTAGTACTTTCCGACTGATCACAAATTACTTTATAGCCTTTACATATGACCACAAAGCCTGAAGTGAAGTTGCGACTTGGAATAAAGTCCACAGCAATGGTACAGGAAGTGCGGCTCTGGAACTCGTCCTTTCGGGCCGCCCACCTAAACAGTACCCAACATTCGGGCTGCTCGGGATCCCGTCCATTCCGACAGCCACGGTCACACTTATAATTTAATTTAATATAATTAATAAAATTACCTTGTTTAAATGTATATATATTTGTACAGGATAAATGTTAGGATAGTCCTCTCAAAAAAATGTGTAAGAACAAAATATGTAGTGAAATAAGAATATTGTTTTCATGTATGATTGTGGATCCTGTGATGTAATGTATGCATATATCAATATAAAAACTATAAACCCAAAATTGTACCAAATAAAATAGTAAGCAAATATTGTAAATTTTCAGACTTGTTATAGGCCTTTAAAGGCTGTCAATAAATGAATAAATAAAAAAAAAATAAATAAAAATTCAAATTTAATTTGAATGATATTAAACATATAAGAAATAGGAAAGTTGAAGATTAACCTGTTATATTTTCTTTGTGTTTTACTTGCCCAAAATAATTTTAGTATGGTTTAAATCAGCGTGAAAAGTTCTATCGATGTGCATTGTGGGTTTTTTGTAGCTAAACGGTCGGTATTGTAGCTAGAATCAGCTGTTCGCAATGCAAACGAAATCAAAATTGCCAACATGTTGGCAAATATATTTTGGTAGTCAAATGCTGCCACATCAACGGCGAGGGCCTGTTTCACTTGGCTGTAATTTTATATGACCGTGCGTGTTGATATATGACAACAAACGCAAATGACCCCAGATGACAACCCGTTTTGATTATTTTGACATTTGACACATTTGAAATGTGACCTAATGAAAACCATAGTAAAACTCAAATTAGAGAGAAAATCTTAAACTCTTCTTAGCACAGATTTTTCCTAACTAGGACTTAAGTTCAACTTAAGTTTAGTTGGTGAAATCGGCCCTTACTATCTAAACGTTTAGACATGAGAATCCTTTGCGGTTATAATAAAAATGTTTATCTCTTGTCGGAGCCATTATGGCATCAGGAATTTTTGATTTGTTAAAAAATGTGACTGCTTACAATTCTACGCTTGCAGTCATGTTAATGGAAATCCACCTTGAGCAAAGCATGTAGCCAAGGAAGTTGAGTAATTCATCCAATATTCCATAGAATGTCGAGTGGGCCACGTAAACGAACTCGCAACTGGATATTTTTTCAAAGAAAAACCGGACAGAAAGTCGTTTATGATGTCATTTACGATTCGTTATCGACTCCTTTTTCGCTTGAAATTGTGGTGCGCCTACGAACAGTCGTAAAAGGATCGAAAAAGCATTCGTATGCGAATATTATAAGTATGTATATTATAAAATATTTTGGTTCAACAAAAATTCCCAACAAAATGAAAACTTTTTCTTGTGCTGACAAATTACTGCAAGCCTCTTTCTATTGAACTTTTTTGTTTTATCGTTTACGAGCCTTTCTCTAACTTTTTGCCGATCGAGAATCTCTC